GCCTCCGGGCCCGCTGCCGCCGGCACCCGCGGCCGCGGCCCGGGGGCGCGGGCGCCGCCGGGGGCCGCGACGAAGGCCCGGGAGGCGGCGTGCGCGGCCGTGCGCGCGGCTCCGCGAGGGGCGGGCGCGCGGCACGGGCGTGGGCCTCCGAGGGGCCTGCGCGGAGCGCCCGGGTCGGCGCCGGGTCTCCCCTCGGCTGTGCCCCCTCCTCGATCCCCCCCATATCGCCTGGGACCCTTCGACCTCTACGATGCCTCGAGCCCCCTCGGTCCCCTCGGCCCCCCTCGATGTGAGGGGGAGCGGCTGGGGGGGACCAGCTCAGGGAGGAAACATCGACCTGGAATCGGCGATGCATCGCGGATGGATCGGCGAGGGGCCCCCCTTGGATGGCGAATCCGCTCGTTCCTGGACGCGGCGGCTAATTCGCGATGGGGGGTCAACGCGTCCCCCCCTGACGTTGCCCCTGACCCCCTCTGCCCCAACGTTGCCCCTGACCCTCCTCCTCCTCCTCCTCCTCCTCCTCCTCCTCCTCCTCCCCCTCCCTCCCTCCCTCTTCCTCCTCCTCCTCCCTCCTCCTCCCCTCCTCCTCCTCCTCCTCCTCCTCCTCCTCCTCCTCCTCCTCCTCCTCCCCTAACCTTGGAGGAAGTAATTGGTGATTGCCTATTCCCCCCCCCCCCAACGTTGCCCGTTGCCCCTGACCCTCCCCATCTGCAGGTGGCGTGCCGGGCTGGCGCCCGAAGCGCCTGCTCGGGGAGGGGGGGGGCCGGGCGCCCACCCAGCAGCCTTAGCGCGGGCCCACGACTTGGACCACGTCTGTCCCGTCGTGGACCCAGCCGCGTCGAATCCGTGTCGAGTCCATGTCGGACTCGTCGGATCCGTGTAGAGTCCGTGTCGAATCTGCGTCGGATCCACGCAGCATCCACGTCGAGTCCGAATCGAGCCCGCGTCGGGCACAAGACCACGTTGGAGGACAGGCGAGGCCCCCCGAAGTCGCAACGTAACCCGACCTCTTTGGGGAAAGCATGAGGTACCGATACCGTTGTACCCCCTGGACCTCTCCCAGGGTGCGTTCTGACCAGAATGTCGAGGCTCATCCAGCGGTGGCGACGAGGGCCTCTTCCAAAAACCAAAACGGGGCCAGGGCAGCGGCAGCGGGTATCTGCACCTCTTGCTCCTCCATCCTCACGAGCCCGCGCCGCAGTCCCGCCCCTCGGGGCTCTCAGCGCGGCCGCCAGTGCCGCGAGCAGCCCCAGCGCCCTCCCGGCCGCGCGCCAACGGGCGGGCGCCCCCAGTGCGGCCCGCGCGCCAGCGGGCGGGCGCCCGCCCGCGCCGCGCAGCCGCATGGCGCCCGCCCGCGCCCCGAGCGCGCCGCGCCGGCTGGCCAGGCGCACGTGCACGGGCGGAGCTCGGGCGCGGCGCGCGGGGCGGAGCTCGGCCGTGCGGCGCCCGACGGGCCAGGTGGCGGCGGGGTGGTGCCGTGTGCGGGTGAGAGGAGGGAGAGGAGGAGTGAGGAGGAGGAGGAGGAGGAGGAGGAGGAGGAGGGAGGGAGGAGGACGTAGGAGGAGAGGAGAGGAGGAGGAGGAGGAGGAGGACGAGGAGGATGAGGAGGAGAAGAGGAGGATGAGAGGACCAGGAAGGAGGAGAGGAGGAGGGAGGAGGAGGAGGAGGAGGAGGAGGAGGATAGGTGAGGAGGGAGTAGGGTGTGGAGGCGGGCAGGTGTGAGAGGAAGGAGGAGGAGGAGGAGGAGGAGGAGGAGAGGAGGAGAAGAGGAGAGGAGGAGGAGGAGGAGGAGGAAGGAGGAGGCGGAGGATGAGGTGTGCCAGAGGAGGAAGGAGGAGGAGGAGAGGAGAGGAAGGAGCGCGCGAGGAGGAGGGGGAGGGGAGAGGAGGAGGAGGGGAGGAGAGGAAGGAGGAGGAGGACAGGAGGAGGAGAGGAGGAGGAGGAGGGGAGGAGGAGGAGGAGGAGGAGGAGGAGGGGTGGATGGGGTGGGGGAGAGGGAGGAGGAGGAGGGTAGGAGGAGGAGAGGAGGAGAGGAGGAGTGGGGAGAGGTGGAGGAGGAGGAGGAGGGGGAGGGGGAGGAGGAGGAGAAGGTAGGAAGGAGGATGGGTGGGGAGGAGGAGTTGAGGAGGAGTGAGGAGGAGTGCAGGGGAGGAGAGGAGGAGGGATAGGAGGAGAGGAGGAGGAGGAGTGGAGGAGGAGGAGGAGAAGGGAGGAGGGAGGAGCGGAGGGCGAGGAGAGGAGGAGAGGAGGAGGAGGAGGAGAGGAGGAGGAGGAGGAGAGAGGAGGAGGAGAGGGAGGAGGAGGAGGAGGAAGGAGGAGGTAGGAGGAGTGGGGGGGGAGGAGGAGGAGGAGGAGGAGGAAGGAGGAGGAGGAGGAGGAGGAGGTGTAGGAGGAGAGGGGAGGGGGAGGAGAGGAGGAGGAGGAGGGACGGGAGAGGATGAGAGGAGGAGGAGGAGGAGGACGAGGAGGAGGAGGAGGAGGAGGAGGAGGACGAGGAGGAGGAGGAGGAGGAGGAGGAGGAGAAGTCCGTAGCCATGTGGGCTCAAGGGGATTGGCCGAAGCTGCTTTTTTCGTTCGCCCACAGTGGGCAAGCGGCTGATGCCTTACCCTAATTGGGCGTTGCCGGTGCAGCGGGCCGCATCATGGTCAGCCATTTTCACCCTCTGCGCTGCCGCCCTGGACAGGCAACGTACGCTGGACCCTCGGCGTGGCACCGCAGGGCTCGCACGGTGCGAGGAACTGACAGTAGGGGGGGCTCCCCTAAAGATCAGGAAGGTGCCCATGGCTGGAGGAATTACGAAGCGATGGCCGCAGCAGTGGAGCTGCTCTCGCCGTGGCACGTGGCGACCACTAAGCCAGTGGATCTGCACGTGCGCGCCGGCGTGGACGCCAGCAGGCGTGCTGCACGGCGCGGGCAAGGCTGCCCTTCGCGAGCCCGAGGTAGGCTCGCGCAAACACTTGGACCTGACCGAGCCAGGCCACGACCCCGCCACGGAGGCCTTCAAGAAGCGACGCGTCACTCCCTGACCTTCCAGGAGGGCTAAAAAATGGCACCCGACTTGAAAAACCTATCCCAGAGCTATTCTACGTCTTGGTTTTAGGCTGTTTCGTTTAGTTTTTTAGGTTTTTAGGCCTCCAGTGCTAAAAAATAGCTCTCTGGAAGGTCAGGGCTGAGGTCACCGCCAACTGAGACACCACAGCAAAAACCAGGGCGACCAACGAGGTCGCAAAAAGTCGTGCGTCTCGCTGGACTCCGACGGTGTCGGCGACGAGCCGGAGGACGCCAACCACTTCTGGAAGAGGGGCCCCGACCGCACGAGGGGCGAGGACGTCGACTGGGCCAGGCAGCAGGCCGCAGCCGGCTCCGACGTAAGGAGTCTGGCTCCACGGTGGCGCCGCCTGCGGACGCCACACAGCAGCGCAGAGCCAAGTGGGCATCCGCACCGACCACGCGACCTCGCAGGACAGATCATGGAGGAGGAGGAGGAGGAGGAGGAGGAGGAGGACGAGCAAGAGGAGGCGGACGAGGAGGAGGAGGAGGAGGAGGAGGAGGAGTGAACGTCCCATGAAGAGGAGGAGAGGAGGAGGAGGAGGAGGAGGAGGAGGAGGAGGAGGAGGGAGGAGGAGGGGGGGCGGGATCGACAGCCGGGGCGTGCGCCAGGAGGCGCACGCCACGCGCGCCGGGCGGCGCGCGCCCCGCGGGGAGCACGCCGGGAGGCGCTGGAAGCATAGGGAACGGAGGCTGGAGGCCGTGCAGCCGGCCCCGCGCGTCGCCCTCGAGGGGCCGCGCCGCGGCGCCGCACTCCTCCTCCTCCTCCTCCTCCTCCTCCTCCTCCCTCCTCCTCCTCCTCCTCCTCCTCCTCCTCTCCATCCTCCTTCCCCTGGCTGACGCTCCGTCCGACAAGAAGGGCGGCTGCCACCACCAAGGCGAGCCCGAGACCGCGGAGAAGTGGCCCGCGCTCGCGGCAGCAGCGCCGCGCCAGGGGACGCCTGACGCTGGGGCAGCACATCGCGCCCCGCCCGGGCCCGCAGCACGCCCTCGGCGGCACTTCCGGGGAGCGCCGCGAGTTCCTGGAGCTGAGCTGCGACGGCCTTGCCGTCGCTCGGACGTCCACCGTGCATTTTTCGGTTTCGTGCGTGTTTCTTTTCCTCGATGGTCCAGGATGGTCCTCGGTGTTTCTCGCCGAGGAAAAAGTGCACACGTCCAAGCGATGCCAAGCGGCTCCTGGGAGCCCTGGGAGCATTGCCAGTCGACAATGCTCGCGCACTGCTGCTCCATCTGGGACTTGGAGACCTTCTGGCTGAGCACGTGCCTGCTCCAGGTCCAGGCGATCATCCAGGAGCGCGGGAAGTTGAGCATCAGCGCCGGGATGGACACGATGACCATCGTAGAGGGTGCTGCCGTGGAGCCCAGAGTCCGTGGAGCTCTGCAATGCCGGGCTCGTGCAGTGCGTCCCGGACATGTCCGCGAGGCACGCCTCCCTGGAGGACGGCGTCGAGGATGCCTTCGCGGAGCCGCAGTGCGCCATGCCGGCCACCGTCACGAGGACAACGTCGGGGACCCTGAAATCCGACGCAGCGAACAAATTGCAGCACCGTGAAAATCCGCGCCCGGAGCCCCGGACCCCACCTTTCTGCGTCATTTTTCGAGCCGCATCGATCTGTGAGGGCCCCGGGGCCCGAAAAAAGGGGACAACGCCCGGCTCGAAAAAACTGAGTCGCCAGGATCTCAGGGGACACTCTCGTAGAGCTGGGCCTCGGCGACGAGAAGGGGCGCCTCGCCCACGCAGGCAGGCCTCCGCGGCCTTCCTCGTTTTGGAGGCGGGCGCCAGCTGCTGGCGCGAGGGAGGCCCTGCGAGGGGTGCAGCGACCATATGGGCTTCGCCAGCGGCAGCAGCACGAGGGCAGCTGTTGCGAAATTATTGAATCCACGCGCATATCAGTACACCTGGGTATCAGAAAAGCATTCTGCT